GTAGTAACAAGAAGCCACTAGTAACAAGTGCCACGCTAGTAGTAACAGGTGCCTTACTAGTAGTAACAAGAAGCTACTAGGAGCAAGGGCATTGCTCCTGTAGCAAAGGGCATCGCTACTAGGAGCAAGGACGCTAGTAGTAGCTCCTGGCCTTACTACTAGGAGCAAAGACGCTACTAGGGGCTCCTGGCATCGCTACTACAAAGGCTGACCATTCCAGAGGGTTTCACAAGCTGTTGCCGCCAGAGTGGCAAACCATGTGTTCGTCAGGTCTTGCACAAGCTGGTGCTTTCGTCCTCTCCACATCTTTTCTCTCAAAGTCCAAAGTGACGCCAAGCTCACCAACAAGTGTGGAAGGGTAGCGAATTAGCGGAATCCAGCACCATGTGGCCAGCTCTTCAAATATTCCAGGTGGAGGAGGCGTTTGAGTCTTCTCTTGGAGCTGACTTCATCCTGGAGCGGGAGAGTGTCTCGGTTCATGTGTTGCGATCCTTGCAAGATCCTCAGTGGAGGCGTGTCCTGTTTTGTAGTGCCCTTTGTAGTGCCCTTTGTAGTCTTTCATATAGAAAGAACTTCCTAATGTGAAAATTTCACATGATTCACATGTTTCAGGTTTATAGTGACTCTGGTCCTTGGTTTGGCTGTAGTGACTAGTGGGTTCAATGCTTCTTCTCTTCAAAAAGAGTCTTTATTGATCTTTGTTTGTTACAACTTGGGAGGTGTCACCACCGGCTGCAAAGAAAACCGCCTAGGTTGTGTGGAGATCCTTCGATGGATCGGAGGCACACTGCAGGAGGCCAACCTTTTGCTGAAGGAGGGACAGCTTACAATGGCTTACAACTGACACTCCTGACACTCTCTTCGAACAAGAAGCTAGTAGTAACAAGTGCCACGCTAGTAGTAACAAGTGCCTTACTAGTAGTAACAAGAAGCTAGTAGTAACAAGTGCCTTACTAGTAGTGCCTTCTCTCCTTTCCTCTTTTCCTAGTCTGTGACTCTCCGAAGGGATTCCGATCGAAGAAGCATCAAAGAAGCACCTTGATCCGTTGCAAATTCGCAGGAGCACGACCAGCAAGGACAGCAACACCTCCGCTTCTTGGCTCCAGACTGGCGTGGGTTACGAGAGGACAAAGTTAAGAGGACTTTGTGTCCATTTGGAAGTGTGCAGGTTGGAGGCCATCGCTCTTAGATTGGAGGCCATCGCTAGTAGGTTGCAAGCTCATGATGACCGTGCCCAAGAAATGGTCCCAAAGCTGAGAAGGTTCCGAGAATAAGTTTAAGTGATGGCAGTGTTGGAAAGATGAGAACCTCCTCGGTTGAGTCCCACTGTTTATGATCTGGGGTCACCAGAAGTGTACACTTCTCCAGTCCAAAGTTGTAACCTGTTTGTGATGCACCCTGAACGCCATGGCATTATGACCTGACCTGGGGGTGTCCAAAATCTCAGGCGTGCGTGACTTCTTGAATTTGCTCACAGGACGGAAGCCCGCCCCTGTGCAGAGCGAGGCGGGCTGTAGCGCTTCTTCAAGTGAGCTTTCCTGCGTAGTAACTACTACTTAAGCTACTTACCTCTTACTACTACTTTAACTCCTGCGGCCTACTCAAAAAGTACATATATAATATATTATATGTATAAATATACATGAAAAAGCTTTCGCATAGGTGAACGAATTTGGAATCCCAGTGATGAAAGGATTGGTGACATAGAACTAAATTGGAGTGATCAAGCACCTCGTGGGAAGGCGATATCAAAAATGTGCTTAAATTTGAAGGAGTTCTCCAAACAAGATCTGGGAGTGAGATGTTTTTTGCTCGATAGTCTGATTTGTCTCTACAAGCCTTTTTGCACATCCGAATCAAATGCCTGGTATGGAGAGATCATCAACACATGGGTGATTTGTTCAGCAAACAGGTGCAGACGCAACCTGTGTGCTGAGAGGCTCAAGCAGTTGGTGAAATGGATAAACGAATCCTGTTGATCTTGCTATGCGTGATCATGGTGTTCATCCTGTGATGTAGATGTCCCTTGATCCTGCAGGATATCACTTCCCCGTTCCAACTCTGAGCCCCACGATGGTACAATCCAATACAACTCAATACATTGCCAGCAAATATACAATCAATACTCACTGGGTCCCGGGTTTCACGACACTTAAGCCCGCACAAAGACGGGACAAAGCAGTGTCCAATTGCGACGAAGCAAATGGCAGCGAATAAGATGTGAAAGGCAATGGACATGGCAGTCTATTGAAGCTGTTGATCTCAGTTGAAGCCCATATTTGGACCTAAACAAGACCCTTTCGAGAATCCGTGCATGTGTTGAAAGAGAGAATCGAAAGCTTCGTCAAAGTTTCACAAGAAGCGAGCGCTCTTTTCATCTTCGCTCTTCGAAAGCCGCGTCCATCTCTGCTCCCGTCTAGAGAAACCAATTTGAGCGGTGTGCGGATCTGTTTCAGCAATGCTTAACAACTTAGTTTGATTCTGCGCTGAATCATCCGAAGTGGAATGCATTAAGAACAAGCCACAAGCATTTTGGATCATGTCGTCATCCTCGTTTGTAGCAAGGAGCTCTTGATGCTCCAAGGCAAATTGCACTTGACCTGGAAGTATGTCTACCAAGATGACTGGGAGTCCGGAAGTATCACAGCCCAAGGTTCAGATTAGGAACAGGGAGGGACCCTTTTAGCCTTCGGCTGCAACCCCCTTCATTGGTAGGGCATCCTTTCTTCCGGGTCCTGGTTATCCCAGGCAGACCCAACTGGTATTTGATGCTTCAGATCGGTCCGTGGTTTTCGGCCCAATTCGAGACAGTCATCGCAACCGGCTTCACAATGGCAAACCAGTCGTTTTCAGAATTTCACGAGGCCGTTTGATCCAAGCTGTCCTAGGTTCGAATGAACACGCCCTAGGAGCAACAAGCTACTAGGAGCAAGGACGCCACAAGGGGCTCCTGGCCTTACTACTAGGAACAAGAAGCTACTCCTAAACATTTATTTTAAGCAAATAACTCACTCATATGCGTTCATCCGACATTCTGCTCACGAGCCACTGCAAGGCACAGGTGCAACACGAAGGATGAGGAGGGGTTGGCTATTCTGAATGAGGTCCTGAGCAGTAGGATTATGATGTGTTTTAAAGTCAAAATCCGTTGTTTGCCAAGAATAGGTGCTCACTCCATCAAACATGTACATGCATGAAGAGTGTAAGAACGATAGCCTTTCAATATGTTTGTTCTACTGAGGCTATGAGCAAGGATTCTACTAGGGGCTCCTGGCATCGCTACTAGGAACAAGAAACTACTAGAGGCTCCTGGCCATACTACTAGGAGCAAGGACGCTACTAGTGGCTATTAGAACATATCTAAACTTTCAGCACGGCTTCTTGTCGCCGCATTTCTCTCCACTACATGTGTAACATGTTGGATGTCTCCGCTGTTTGCTTTGCAGCTCAATACGCTGTACTTTTAGGAAGATGTTTTCTGGAGGAGTAACAACTTGGGACTAGTTCTTCTGCACAACTTGGGACTCGACATAGACAAGCAGCACCAACCCCAAGCAACGAGACCGACTTGAAATTCAGTTCTTCCGGCCAAAACCTGACATGAAAGGACTTGCTTAGCCAATCTTGATTACTGCTCTATATTGTGCCCTCCTCTTGCTGACCCTGTACATGTCTGCGGGTGGACGAGAACTGAAAGTTCTTAAAGAGAAATGGACAAATGTCGTACCCATACAAGCAGCCATCAATGCTTGAGCATAAGTCTTGCAGCCTTAATACCTGCGCTATCGCCCTGGCATGGATTTTTGGAATCCATGGGGTGCGAGGGGCAAGAGGAAGGACATGTGGCACAAGACGGGGGCGGCGACTTGGCTTGAAGGATAGTTGCACCACTCAACCCTGCAGAGATACTTCCCACAAGCATTTGCAGGGTGTTCCGGGGGTTGGGTAATCCATAGCATTTGGTTGGTTCGGAGCTTTAGATTGAAGCATTTGGGTTTAGAGGTTTGGAGGCATCACTGCAATTACAGGGACAAGTCTTCATGTGTTTTTTCTATTGTGTTTAAAAGTTTAGGGTGGGCATTGGAGGTGGGCCGCCTGGAAGATACAGTTCTTTTTGCAGATCGACTGACGGGTGGCTTGATTTGGCCTGCCAGGCATCCAGGCAGACATGGATTGACAGCACGTCGAGCAATCCGCCCACCTTGGACCTCCACACCACCAGAGTCGCACTCAATGGATTGCCTGGAGGTGTTTGTAAAGGGTGCCCAATAAACACCCCTTTTGCAAACATGGGATCATTCCAAAACTAACAGAGTTGCACTACGTATGTTCAGCCACATGGAACCATACTCAACATGCTTTAAAGTGGCCGCAGACCTAGAACCCTAAGGGGTGCACTGGACACTTTGTGCCACTACGTCAATTCTTGAACATCGTTCTCTAATTAATTGTTTAGTCGTTGGGGAAGATAGATAGACCACTTGTCGTTCGTAGTGAACGCCGTTGTTCGATCGCTTCACACCTGACCTCCCTAGGTGCAAAATCGCACCTCTTCAATTTCACCGGGGTCTCGGCCAACAAGGCCGGTATGGGCCACTTGGCACGGTGTGGCATGGTTGAAGCTCAGTTGGCACGCGGAGCCACCTTGTTACTAGTAAGGCCAGGAGCTACTAGTAGCGTTCTTGCTACTAATAGCGATGCCCTTTGTTACTCGTAGCTTCTGTTTACCAGTAGTAAGAAATTTACTATGTTTGGCTTTGGGAGACTTCAAAGTTGAGGCGCTGATCGAAAGATGGTGGCAGATTTCGTGTATCAGAAGAGTCACTTGGCAAGTTGGAAGGCCACGCAGGCCTTGAAAGGCAGCGGAGCTCTCGTTTGAAAATGTTCCGAGCCTTGAAACGGCTGAGACGGACTGACTTCAACTTCGCAGATGTACTATGGCCAACCATCGGATCCGTCAGTAACGCGAGGAGCTACTAGTAGCTTCTTGTTCCTATTAGCGAGGCCAGGAGCGCCCCTAGTAGCTTCTTGTTCCTAGCAGCGATGCCCTTTGCTCCTAGTAGCGTCCTTGCTCCTAGCAGCGATGCGTATTGCTTTTTTGTTATTTTGTGGCAGACAATTGAGGATTCCTAAATGTCCGCGACAAATGTCCCCAGAGACTGTTAGAGTCCGATTCGCATGGTGAGGCAAGAACTCCCAGTACACCCAACACCAGCTGGCAGCTCGGTGCGTGTGTTGTGCATCCGTTGAGGAGTGTGGAGGTCATTGTATGAATTGTAATAAGACTGTGTCCGTTGTGCACTTGTTACTACTAGTAAGGCACTTGTTACTAGTAGCGATGCACTTGTTACTACTAGTAAGGCACTAGTAGACTGTTCATTTCCACTGGGGCAGCTTAACAGCTTTTGATGGGTTCTTACAGATGCCCAACACTTTGCATCCATCAGCCACGGAAAGTAACAGAGATTTGAGGACTGGTTGGTGATCCAAGGAATATGTCAAAACATTAAGCAAGGCATTGCTACTAGGAGCAAAGGGCATCGCTACTAGGAGCAAGGGCATCGCTACTAGGAGCAAGAAGCTACTAGGGGCTCCTGGCATCGCTACTAGGGGCAAGGACGCTACTAGGAGCTCAGGTTGAGACTGGTACGCCCAAGAGTATTTGAGACAAAACTATAACTCTACTCCTTAGTGGCCCATGTTGGGAAGAGCTTAGCAGATGGCACCGAGACCAAGACCCTTTGTCTCAGAACATGCGTGATGAGATACCCCACTTCCTTAAAGCGTCATCGTTGTTGCCTCATTGCTACATCCGGACGTTTGGTACGAAAAGGTTCCACGGGTAATACACAGGTAGGTAGTACTGCTGGTATGTCCACATTGGGATTGAATTTGGAGAGTGGGGAATGAGCCTTGAGAAAAGCCCTTGTGGGCAAATCTTCTAGGCTTCTGAAAGTTTGAAGCGACAAATCGTGAGCTGGGTGTACCTAGTAGCGTTCTTGTTCCTAGTAGTAAGGCCAGGAGCTCCTAGTAGCGATGCCCTTGCTCCTAGTAGACCTGTTTCCTTAAGACCTGCACTACCGTGGAGCCTCATCTCGCCTCACGAGGTCGAGAAACGGTTTCACAGGTGCCGAAGCAACAGGGACGGGTGTTCGTACGGGTATGGTGTGACGTGGTGTGTTTGCATTGGTTCAAGAAGGTTTGCCGTGACAAGGTCTCAAAATCAAGGCTGAGGCCATTTCTGCAATAGCTGGTTTGTTCAATAAGGACCAAAGGAAAAATGGTCTCGGCCGCGCCAACTTGTCAAGCCATCCATTGCCTGCTCGGGCCATTTGACTGAGGATTTGGATGCCAAGCAGCATGCTCGAGCTGAGCCCCTCGGCTTCAAGAAGAAAAGAAGTCTTTTGAGTTTGTGCTTTTTTTAGCCGCCTTGCTCCTCCCTTGCTTGATTAAGTAAGCGCTTATTTGACTGGCTAATGATTAGGAAGCTCCTAGGTAGGACGCAGGATAGCTCACGTTTCCTAGATGTTTTGAGGAACTTAAGTTAATTTTAGGTGAGTAGTCGACGTGGTGCAGCATTTGATCACTTCAACAGCACCACCACCACCTCAGCATACCAAATCATTTATGGCAATAAAACAAATGTTCAAAATGTTTGGCTCTTGATGGCAGGTGCCTCCTGCCAATACCCTCAAGCCACCAATTTGTTCTTGTGAAAAGAGTGGTGAGTGGGTGAGGTTCCAGAAAAAAGGGCATCGCTTCCCAATGTGGGGATAACATTTGCCATCAATTGCCCGAATAGTTTAAAGGATAATGACGTCCTTTTGATTCCCTCAATTTTGAGGCGTTCCTTTACTCTACTGAAACTAGTAATGGCAGTAACTTCTCTTAAATCTCAAGATTCATGATAAGCTACTACAGCTTATGGAGGGTAGAGGACGCTACTAGGAGCAAAGGGCATCGCTACTAGGAGCAAGGACGCTACTAGGAGCTTTTTACGATTCCCACCGCCCGCGCCGGATCCTGTTGGCCTCCGAGGCAAGTGGCCTCCGAGCTCCGTGCTGCCGAGCAGCGCATGAGCGACGCTGAGAAGGTGCAGGACCTGCGGAGCGCGGCGGCACAGCTGGAGGAGCTGGAGAAGCACCGAGTGCCTCGACAGACTCCAACCTAGCGATGGCCTCCACCTAGTAGCTTCTAGTCACTAAGAAGCTTCAAAGACATACTAACAAGCTTTATTGTTACAGGTGAAACGATTCCCAGTGAAATTCATGGAAGAGTTGGGAAATTGAGATGATTGTTCTTCATCGGAGTTGAACTGACCTGTAGAAACATCAATCCGCTTGGTGAGTGTTTCAAGTAGCATTGCAGCCATATTTCCTTCGGTTGATCCTGCCAAACTGCTGGAAAGCTGAGCGCTTCTTCTTGTAGATGAAATAATCTGGGACGCTTAGGGAGTCCGAAGGCTAAAATGAAGCGGGTTATTTTTGTAACGGATCCCTCTTCCGTCCGCATCAGGTTGAGGACGGCCATGAAGTTGAGTCAGCTTTGGATGAGGTCCAAGTTTTCAACATCCATCATCAGCCAGCCTCACAGTATCCATGCCAGTGGGCTGGGATGATCAAAAGCAAATGAATTTTCTGAACTGCATCCTTCTTTGGAACCCCAGAGGAACCTGACGCACTGTAGGACCTCTCGCGGACTCATTGCGTCGTGGACATGGACATGTTCTATGCGGCAGTGGAAATCCGTGATCAGCCGCACCTGGCCACCAAGCCACTGGCCATTGGCGGATTGGGCATGATCTGTGGCCCGGCTGCACATGAGCCGACGACGCTTGCATGTCACAGCGCGCTTCTCGTTGCAGCTTTTGGGGCGGAACACCAGCACAGACCACTTCCCTGGCAGTGCCGCCGCCACAAAGGCGGCAGCGCTCAACGTTACGTCTCGGACACAACTTCTATTCCGTGGGGAATAGTGCATGCCACTTCAATTGAAAGCCAGCCAAAGTCCGTCGATGCAGACTGCAGCAGCCAGGCTAGCGACCAAAAATAGAATCCGGCCGCAAAAAGGATTCAAGATAGAAGCAGTTGAAGGGCAATGGGTAGAAAGGGTGGTAACAGAATGCAAAATGACATGTTTCATGCCGCCGACCACGCAGCACTTCATAGCAAGCCCTTGATTTGAATACTTGTTCAGCTGTCCACCTCGCCACGGCTGTCTTGATCCTCCAAGTGCAGATTTCGTGGCGCAACAGATGTGTTCTGCCCGGCCAAATCTCCAGACTCTCCAACCTTAGACCCACTCTTGCTTGACTTATCCCGCTCCCCAGCAACGTGCCGCCAAGGACAATAAAAATCACGTTTGAGCACTCGGCACGCACGATCTGCGGAGTGTTGCGTTTCGTGAGTGTTGGCCGGCCCGCCCCGTCTGAAGAGCAGAAAGATGTCGAAGCTGTAGTTGTGTAGGTGAGTCTTCTAGGTGTCTTCACCTGTATTTCTACACCTGTATCTCCACACCTATGTGTTTGGACACAGCTGTGTCTATGTTAAAGCAGGTGCATCGCTGTGCACCTCGACAGTTGGCTCTCGAGGCACGGCCAACTACGTGGCCCGGTTGTACGGGGTCCGTGCGGCGATGCCGGGCTTCATCGCCGTGGAGATGGTGCGACAGCCGCAGCTCGTAGGCGCCCAGATGCCACCGGATGAGCTGAGCCTTGGGAACGGTAAAGCGGAAACAGAAAGATGACAGGTGGTGACCAAGATGGACATATGAACTGACATACTTGTGAGTGGCGATTCCGGTGCGGCGAATGTATGCCTTGTAGATCGAAACCGTTTGATATTGAAAAATGTACCTCGGCATAGAGGCCCAGAGATCTAGAGCATACAGGTTTAGAGATGTAGAGACCTTGAGGTCCGCAGATTTGGATTTAATATAGCTCTTGAGATCTAAAAGTCTTAGAGGTAGATCTCAGAGCAGACAGAGCACTTGTAGAAGATAGATGTAGCAGATCACTATGCGCAAAATCATTCTAGCAAGATCTTCGAGCTGCAATGCTTCAAGGATTTTCATTCCGCCGAATTTCGCCAAGTACACCAAGGCCGTTCGTTGAATTGTTCATGGGTTCGCCAGTCGGTCAGTGTTGGTGTAGAAGACGTAAAACAAATTTGGGAACGTGTGCCCCATGCGTCATCATTCGCCCCAGGCAGTATGTGCCAGACATACTGATGATTTTTTGGTGTGTGTGTGTGTGTTGGAACTTTATGTTCAACAGAATTACCATTCGGATGTTCATGTGAGTTCTGGGAAGAAGCAGTTGTTGGAGTTATGTAAGAGTTGGCATGGATCCTACTCTTTTTCAGCGACCATGGCTCACCGATTCACACGAAAACGGTGCTGTTCTTTCCAATTCGATCCGAATTTGACAAGGCACAAAAAGGCGATCAAGCCAGGATGTGATCCTAAAAGTGCAAAAAGACAAGCCCTGAGTAAAAACTGAGTGGTCCAGGGTTGAGACCCATTGCCAAACAAGCAATTCTTACTACTAGCGTTCTTGTTACTACTAGTAAGGCACTTGTTACTAGAAGCGATGCACTTGTTCCTAGTAGCTTCTTGTTACTGCGCTGACTAGAGAGGGGTGAGATGAAGGCCAACGGACAACTCCCAGCGGCCGAAACGCGAACGGAGCAAAGGGCATCGCTACTAGGAACGACGCTACTAGGTGCTCCTGGCCTTACTAGGAACAATGTTTGCTATTAGAAACAAGAATTGTAATAGAATTAAAAGTAGTTAGGCCTTTCTTTTTATCTTTCAATCTCTAGAAGTCCCTCCCACGACAATTCACTGATGCCGAATTGTGCGTTGACTTGCACAAGGTGGCAGAGCAAACACGAGAGGTATTTCGTGGCTTGGCAGAAGCCTGTAGTTGCTTTTCGTCTGGCATCCATGGTCGTGTTTTACTTTTGCAGAGGGCTACCTCTTCTGACACCTCTATCTCTCCAGGTTTGCCTTCTTTTTGGATGAACCTAGATCTCGTTTTCGTGGTTTCTCCAAGGCATGGGCACAAGGTGTTGTCGTTTGTTCCTGGACAGAACTCAATCCAGTTTCTCAAGAACCTGACACTTACGAAGCGAAATGTTGCTAAACTATGTTTTGGGACAGGCACACCAGTTTTTGAAGAATCCTGCAATACGAACTCCAGAGAAGCCATCAGTGGATCAAGTAGATAGCTAAGGCCAGTATGATCCGAACTTCAAGGCGTTCTCTTTGGACGAGGCTTACTTGGATCCTTGGACACACCAAGTAGCACAGATGCATAGTGCGTCGAATCAACTGTCTCCTCCAGAGCAACAACTCGCATGGAGGTTCTGCTTGGAAAATGATAAGCAACTTATCATTAGAGATGTTCAAGTAGTCTTTCTCTATCGTCTTCGTATTCTTTCCCGTTCCATTTCTTACTCTTTGTCTCTATTGTTCCCTACACGCTGGTGTGGAGTTCTTACTTTTTTTCGGATTTTCCCTAAGACCTTCCCCTTCTCCTCCCAACTCACTCACACCGACTTGCACCCTCCAGATATGAAGCGCACGAACTGACCGCAGTTTGACACACGCCAACTTAGGTGAAAAAATTGCCTTAAGAAAGCCTGGTATTCCAAAACACAGCTCTGTCACGCTCTTTAGACTTAGGTTCAGTGAGTGAAAGTGCTGAAGTGAAACAGTGTTCCTTGGTTTTCATTACATCCGACTTTGTTTTCGTTATTTCAGTTCAACTAAAGCAGGTACACAATAAGGCATCTCTTCTTGCTTCACCAGTTGTGAGTCCGTCTTCGTTGGTCTAGGGACAACTCACAACACTCCGAGGGTTGCACACTTAGGATAGGGTGTACTGAACTGAATGCAGTGCCACACGCCGGCCTAGGTTTAAAAAACCTTAGAAAACGAGGTAAGT